TTAATTGTTTTTTGAAATGGTTGTTTTTAGAACAGATTGTAAAAAAAGGCAATGATGACGACCAACTATGTTCACTGAAAGTGCATTAGACGGGAACAAATCATAAATTTAAGTCTCAATTTGTTTGGTTTTATGAGATTAAATGATCAATATATTCTGAAAAGGATATTTAGATCAAAATAGTTACAGTTTAGGTCTCATTTATACAATAAGTCATTTGCATCTTGAAATCGAGGAAACGTGATGTGGCCAATAAAATGACTGTGAAATGTATTTCAAAAATGATTTGTCTATTTTATTTGATAACATTCGAGCTCATGTGAAAAATAAAAATCTGCAATGCATTTTAAAATAATTTAGTTAATTTAAAACCATATTGTTCATGCAAGAATTTAAAAATACGCTCAGGCCCAAACCTCCCAATCAAATAAAAATCATTCTAGAATTAGAAGTGCATTTTACTTTATGTATATCCATCAGTAATCAATATTAGCCATAAAAAATATATATTTAAAAAAGATAGCCAATGGTGAATGTGCAAATAATTTAAAAGACGATAAGAGGCAGTTTGATGGATTGGTTCTTATTGCCGTCACTCGCAGAAATAAGGTTCTTGGTTCAAAATTAGGAATTAGCTCCAAAGTAATAAACCACATCCTACCAAAACAGCTTGTTTCAACAGAACTGACTAGAAGTGAAAAGAAGCATGTTTGTATAAGTCAAAATTGCTCCCAGAGCACTTAGTAAAAAATTTTAGATTGTCAGTTTTAGGTTTTCTTCTGCTCCAACAATAAGTGCGCTCTGAGCTAGAGAAACATGGAGGTCTCATTAAAAAGTCCAGTGGAGATCCCTGGTCAACCTAAGCACACAGAGATGGCTGTAAAAGTGGTTCAGTGGCTGGTGATGTCTTCCTGCATGTAGAGGCTGTAACCACGGCACTGACCTTGTTCAAAACTCGGCTGCACAGCTGTAACAGTGACCAGTTATGGAAATCGCTTAATGCTGAATAAACACAGCTGCGTGTTTCACAAGATGAACACGATCCGTTTCATCTGCAGTGTCTCTTTTACATCATCACAGCGCATGTTTGCTAATTTGGTTTCATTCATAATATAATTTCATTCAAAAATGGCAAACAGGGGAGCCCTGCAGAGGATAGAGAGGGAAGCTAATAAAGATCAATAGAGCAACAATTACTTCTTAATGTACTGTTTGAGAGATTTGTTTTCCTGCACAGCCTTCAGCAACGTTATGAAATTTACTTTAGCAATCAGAAACACTTCTCTGAAACTGAAAGAGAATATAATATTCCTGCTATGTGAATTTGTTGAAGCCTTTAGTAATTATTTAGCAGCTGTGAAAAAGTAATTTCCCCCTTTGTTTTTCATGTTTTAATCACTCTTAATGTTCCAGGTAAACTTTTCAGATAAAAATAACCCCAGTAAACACAAAATGTTGTTTACATGTTGTGACCTAATTAATGAAAGGGGAATATCTATCCAAACAACTGGTCAACAACTATATGGATGTGTTTGTTTTAACTGGAAGTAAGTTTTTGCATCTCAGTGGAGAAAATTTGATCCATTCTTGTTTGCAGAATTGTGTTAATTCAGCTATACTTGAGGATTTGGGGGCATCAGCATCTAGATTTTTGGAACCAGACTTTGACTATGTCACTTCAAAACTTTTTTAAACATTCAAAGATGGACTTCTCAAGTGTGTTTGCCCAAACATTCTCCCTCAGGAATTTGTTGTAGAGAGCAGTTTTTATTGCTCTGGCACTTAAATGTTCTTCTAAAATATATTTAGTCTTATACTAGATGTAACTGGACAAACACTTTCCAAAAAGTTTCACTTTTGTCTCATCAGTCCACAGAACGTCATTGTAAAAGTCGAGGGTCATCAGGATGTTTTAGATAAATGAGTCGTGTTCCTTACGCAATAGGAAAAGCTTCGTCATTGTTCTATGATTCCTACCTAAGAGGATAATGACTCTCCCTGTGGGCCCAAAGCCCTGGAAATGGTTTTATAAAACTTTCCAGACTGGCAGAGATGTAAATTATTTTTGTTTCATGAATTTTTTTAATCAGGTTTTGCTCTTTGAGATTTTCTGGCAACAGAAAGTTTGACTCTTTTGTCCACAGAGTATCGTTGACGACCACAGTCAAACTCGGAGCAGCCAACAAGACGAGCAACAATCAGTGAACCACAGCTCTTCACCAGAGGGAAATGACTCACTCGGCGTAAACGAAGCCGTCAGCAGACATGAACTAAGGTGACTGTTGTGCTTGACTTCTCTCTTGATGACACAAGGAAATGTCTTTATGTGAAGTTAACCATAAGTGGAGTCACGCATCTGTGTTTTCTTTGCAGCAGAAAGCCGAGAGAGGAGCCCAGGCTTCCCTCCGGCCACCGGGGCCACCCACAGCTTCACCTGCAGCTCCAGAAGTTCACTTTGTCTGCAGACAAGGTGATCAGATTTCTCTCAGATGCAGCTAAAAATTTATTTCTGCAACTGCCTTCATACAAATCCCAACACTATATAATTACTGCTTCTACACATCAGAGCTGATTGCACAGTTTTTTGATTAGTTGTCATGCATGCATAAAATGAGACTGTTGATTTAGAAAGTGCTCTAATCTTAGATTCTTGCCACAGTTAATATTTATTTTGCTCACTGGAAATGTGAACTATATTTAAATTGATTGGTTGACAACCAGTTACAGCGAAACATGATTATCGGACAGCTAGAATGAAATGCCACAAAAAATGTAGAACTAAGAAACACCAGAGACAAACGTAAGCAGCAAAGAAACACCAACTTTTCACCATAAGCCAAATAAATAATGCTAGACAGATAATTAATTTACTATGAAATCAAAATAATGCTGAAAACAAGATTAAACTTTTAAGACACCAAGATGATCATAATAAAATAAGACAACTTTAAATAAGAAAGTTGTAATAAAAGAATGACTCCTCACTATAAATCGTACTTTTAAGAACCAACAGATGGCCTTTCTCAGAATATCTGAAGCAGACCAGATAAATAGATTGGATTAAAGTCATTGATACTTTTAATACAGTAAAAGCACGTTAAAATAAATTCTAATACATGTTGTCATAATCTGGTTTGTAAAAACCCAAATGTAGAGCGAGACGGTCATAAAAGTGTTCAGATTTCTTAATGACAAAGTTGAATCACAGGGAGAGAGGGACATGCAGTGGAGAATAACAGGGGGATTCAGATCAGCAAAACAAGAAAAAGAAAAGAAAAGAAAACTGTAAACAAAGAGAACTGAGCAAGACACAGAGGAGTGACAAACCAAGGGAAAGACGTACACGGATACAAAACAAGCTAAAATTCACAGAGAAGAAAACAAGAAGTAAAAAAAACTTCCTTTTAGGAATAAATCTAAATTGCCAGAATCAGATGACAATAAAGACAAAGAAACATAAGAGGCAATACTTTTCAACCACGAACAATAAAGAAAGCCAATTCCCAGTGTCTCGTGATTGAAGTAGCCAATGCAGAGCTCCATGTTAGTCATTTCCAGCACTAAACCTATCAGTAGGAAGCTTTATTTCTCTGTAATGTTTGCAGGACAGTCATCCAGTCGTCTATATATTTGTCCTTGCTGATGACTATTTCCAGCCGTCACTGGGCAAGAGACAAGGTACACTGTGGAAAGGTCACTAGTCCATCACAGAGCCACACAACTCACACCTAAGGGCAAATTAGAGTCATGTTTTTAAGCCAGAGTGGTATAAAAGTGAAAAAGACAAAAAAAAAAAAAAAAAAAACATCATAGTAACTGTTTTCTGTTTTTGGTAGCCAAGTTACAGGTTGTGTGTGTCTTTTTTTTTGACACCATCCAACCCTCTTCTCTCTGCTTTCCTCCTCAGACTTTGTCCTGGCTGAAAGACAACGTTTCCGTGGCAACACAGGTGTGTTTGATAGCGAGCTCCGAGGGTCTGGAGGCCGCCAGAAGGTGTCAACAGGCCCTCGAACAAGAAATCCTCAACAACAGAGCCAGGATAGAGGTGGTCAAAAGGGTAAACGGAGGCATTTTAACGCCTGAGCAGCCACTGAATGGCAACGTGCAGATCTTTAGTCGACGTTCTGACATCTGTTGTGAGAAGGTTTCTGAGTTATCACCTGCACTCATGTGTTGAAAACGCCTTCCTCAGGAGGGTCACGGGCTGGTCCGTGCACAGCACCCAGGCAGCGCGAGGATTGAGGAGTTCCTCAGCCAGCTGGAAGTCCTGTGGGAAGAACTGAGGAGGAGGCACCAGAGGAATGCTGTGTTTCTGCAGGCCTCGGAGAAGCTGGGCTTCAGAGTGAGATTCATTTTTTTTAATAATTCTTGAACAGATTGTTCTCTGAGGTCATACTGTTCTAGGAAGATTTACCATCAGGACAGATTACTCTGGATCGGTTCTACCACCGTTTGGTGCTGATTCAGAGAGGTATGATAACAACTAGGGATCCAAGTTATGACCCAAGATTAATGAGTTAGTCTAAAATTTATACAGATCATCAGTCAACTAAATTAATTGATGAGCGAACTTTTTTTTTACCTTCTTTTAAATTTTAACATTATTTTGTTTCAACTGATAGTTTCTCACATTTATTAAACTGAGACATATTTGTAAAATAGAACAAAACAGGAACCTCTTAGGCTGCTGAATAAAAAAATAAAAGTTGAAAAGAATAATGCAGATCGGCTGAAATGACGCTATAAGTTATATTGCTAACCCAAGGAGCTTGTCGGGTGTTTTAATGTTATAACAGAACCGCATAAAGAGCATTTTGCATCCTAACCGGATTCTTTTTTGGACCGTTTCTCTTTCTCGTTCTGGTATGGCCGCCATCTTTATCCCTGCTTCAACTGACTCTGTTTAAGTATGATTAACGGCGCCCTCTGCTGGATGGGGGCCAAAGTACAACAATAAAGCAAGGTGAAAGCGCACATTATTAACGAATCAATTGGAACTAATTTTATTTTAATAAACATTTATCAACTATTAGTCGGAATTCGATTAATTGCTCGCATTCCTATTTACAACCGTTTATAAAGTACACTGAAAAATTATAGTTACTGCTTGAACTTTTTTCAGGTTTTGTGAGGTTCCAACCACAAATTTGCATGTTTTCATAGGATTCAGCACAAGTATATAAATTGAAACACAGGTTTCTGACTTACTTAGAAAATAAACCTGAAAAGTGTGGCATTCATCTCTATCCAGCCCCCATTCTCTTGAGCCAACACTTTGTAGCATTTATCAATAATGCAAATCTTGTCTGAAATTTTTAACAGTTCTTCTCTGCAAAATATCTTGAGCTGAATGGAGACCATCTTTAAACAGGGATTCCCCATTGGATCTAAGTCTGAACTTTGACTGGACCATTTTGAACACACGCTTCATTCTGATTCTTTCCATTGTATTTCTGGGTTGCGTCACACGTTTCTGGGCCCCAGTCTTTAGTCTGTTAGAGCTTCTAGCAGGTTTTCTTCAAGTATTGCCTTCTATTAAGCTCTGTTTATTTTTTTCTGTATTTAATGAAAGGTTACATGCAAGTTAGCTTTGCTTTATTTCAGACATCCTAAGATGTTTGCATTAGAAAATAGAAAATACTTGGTAAGATTTTGAGTTTTTGCCGCTCTGGTTTTCATGTTTCTGTTTCTTCACTAAACCTCTGCGGCTTTCACAGGACAGCTGCCTGGATACGGTTTAATTACACACTAATGGACTTTTTTTACTCGGTAATTTGTGATTTTATTTAAGGGCAGGAAATTAAAGGGGACTGAAACAAACGCATGGCATACTTTTCACATTTTCATTTGTACATTTTTTATAACCATGATATTTTCTGTATCTCTTTACAATTATTCAGTACTTTGTGTTGTCATAAAATCCCAATAATGTACACTGAGGTTTGTGGCTGAAACATAATAAAATGGAATATAGTTAGAGAGATATAAATACTTTAATTTGATTATGGGTTAAATCTAATTTAGAGCTTTGCTTCAAATAAGAAGCCTGCTATTATAAAACATATAATTACTGATGCTGTTGCGATCTTCTTCTTTCAACTCTGACCTAAATCTCTTAAATGTTTAAGAAAGAAAGCCTCTCCATCTTGACAAATGCTATTCTGCACACATTTTCAACATTTCCTCTGCTTCTGTTCGGCTAAGGTTGTGAAAGTGCTCCAAGCCCTCGGCAGCCTGGAGGCCTGGCTGGAGTCCGTGGAGCTTTCCATGAAGGCGTCCGCCATCGCCGGCGACCCCGAAACCATGAGCCGGGCCGAGAGGGAGAGCTGCCTGCTGGAGAAAGAGGTGGCAGCTCGCGGCGTGGAGCTCAGCGCTCTGAGGCAGGAGGTGGACCGCCTTCACGGCCACAGTCACCCCCACACACGGGGATTGGCAGTGCGCATGGAGGAGTTGGAGAGAAAGTAAGTTTTACAGGGGTCGAGGTGAGCTGCCCGGCGTTTGTCATCATGGAAGATTCATGTTATGGATTTGAACCCATCAGGGATGAATGATGCTGGCAGTTTCTGCCAGTCACAGAAAATACAGCATGTCAGTGTTTCCAAGACATCACAGGTTGGGGTTTGCCATGTTTGTAATTCAACATGGAAGGATTTACTCATAAAACTCCCCAGTTTAAACGCAAGACAAATAATGTTGCCCTATAGACCAAAAAAGAAAATATACCTACCCACAGATCTCATAACCTGAAACTTTATCCAGATTGGCAAAAAAAAAAAAAAAAAAAATTCTCCATGTTCTCATTAACTGTGTATCAAGTAGCATGTTGGAAGACCTGCTCCATAACTTCAGCTTGTTCTTATGAGTCAACCACTTAGTTTGTGACGGGTTGCCTTACGCTTTGGCAGTAGTTTGAAGGACAGCCTGTCATTGAGGTTCACAGTATAACCTAACGATGTTGACAGGCTTTCTGGAAGTACCTGTGTCTATAAACAGAAGGTCAGACTCTGGAAAAAAGTGCACCAGCCTGAGCAAAGAAAATGAAAGCATGGAAATGTCTCAGTTTAGGTGTTTCCAGGGTGGGAGTGTTGGATCGGGCAGAGATTACCGCTTGTTTAGTCCAGGAGACCAACGGTGCAGATACAGGATTATTCTTATCTGCACCTCTCATCCAGCTGTGCAAAAGCTGGAAAACAAATTATATTTTTTTTAATTGATCAAGCTATCTAGTAACTTTTATTTTAGAATGTGATACAGAGGCCTCTGTTAAAAATGATAAAAACAAGAGAACATGCCCATCATTGAATAAGCCAAATGTGTATCAATTCTTAAAAATGAGCAAATGGCTACAAGAAGAAGAAAAAAAAAACTGGGCATCATCCAAGGTTTATTTTCTCGCCATGGCAGTGAGGAAGATGTTAACTGAAAGAAAACATAGAAAAGAAAGTTTTAGTAATAACCTTAAGAGCAACAGTGTCAAACTGTCCTACAATAATTATAGTATAAGTGTTATTCTGTGTTTTACAGCTATGCAATGCTAAGCTGCTGCAATAAAAGAAAAGTGTGAAGCGTTCTGCAGAGACACTAAGCAGCTGTGGAACACCTGGGCTGATGTCATTATTTAATGCTAAAAGAAAAAAAAGAGAGATTTAAGGCTAATTTATTCTAGAAAAAGCAAATCCCTTCATCATAGCACATGCAAGCTTTGTGCTGTAAGGTACTGGATATGCTCACATGATAATATTGATAAAATAAGCAGCGCTGGAGCCTTGAAACAATCATCTTGTGAGCTGACCTCTGTGTCTTTTATGTGGTTCTTCTGAGCGTGGATGAGCACGTAGGAGCAGCTTGTTGGTGAAACCATGTTGGTGCGATTTGTGTTGCACAGGTATCACTGTGTGCTCAGTGCCCTGACCCTACAGAGCTCAAAGCTGCAGGACACACGCATGCTGACTGAGTTTCTGGAGCATTTGGAGCTGGACGAGAGCCAGGAGCTCATCGGAGGACAATACAATCTCAATCAGGTATTACACGTCGAACATTATCACGCTATCTTGAGTAATATTCACGTTATGAAACATCTCAATTTTTCATGCGTCTAACAGCCTCTACGTAGTGACATTTCCTCAGTCCCTACGTTACTTGGGCTCCAAAGCAGCGGTGTTGGAGACAATCAGATAGAAACTATGGGCGACCCTGTGGAAGAGCTGCGGGAGGCCGTGGAGATGCTGAACGACACTGTGAGGGAAAGAGGTCGATCACAAAGCCACGATCACGCCATCCGGGAACTGCTCAGCAAGGTTAGACGAGGAGGAGTGGTGCTTAAACTGAGGAGCTACATTTAACATTTATGCTTTAAGAGGTTTAAATAATGTTGATTAGATCCAAATGTTACAGCTTAATAGGCATTTAATCATTTTCAGATTCTATGATCTGTAATGGAACCGCTGTTTTAAGCACTCTGCCCTAGAATAAGGACTTTTGGTTGGATTTGTTTTATTTTTGGCACATGTATAAAACTGTCATGTTCACGGAGAAGCCATGACATAATTTTATAGGTATTTGTGTTCATACCATTTAAACTTTTAAAATTTGCATATAGGATTTTATGTTATAGAAAAACACAAATTAGAGTAATTTAAATGCTCAGTTTCACCCAAAACCCAATCAGATATGTTAGAAAACTACTTTCCTCAGACCCTCTCTATTCTGTCCAATATAGAAAAATTAAGAGATGCTAAAAAACAAACTTTCAGCAAAAGTTACCTCCATAAAGAGAATAATCTACACCATAGATTTTTTTAATGTCTTGGTATAACATTTTGAAAACTATGCATCATTTTCCTTCTCCTTCAGCATAATGCACTACTTTGTTGTTGAGTTGGCAAATAAAATCCCAATAAATGAAAAGACCAAAGTTTGTGGTTGGCGTGTGAAAAAATGTGCTACGTTTCGTGGCTCCTGTTGTAAAACGCATTAAAGTTCACTGCCTTACTGACAGTCCCATCTCATGAGGACCTCTTGCCTCTCCAGCATGCCAGCCTTGCGGTGTGCGTGGAGGAGTGTTTGTGCAGCAGCAAGGAGCTGAGCCTGGAGATCCTGGAGAAGGAGACAGACATGGCCGTGCAGTGCGAGCCAGACCGCTGCGGCTTCGGGCCGCTCCAGGACAGACTGGGCCACCTGGAGGTAAGAAAGGAAGATGCAGAAAAGAGAAATGACTCATCACTGATTACACAACTCAGAATTATTTTTGGAAAAATCAGCTTCGCTTTCTTCTCTGCAGCAAAACTGTGCCCTGTTTGCACCACTTTGTGCTATGTTTAGTTTTGCCTATCAGCTGCCGTGCATGTTGGCCACACACGTACACACGGTGCGTGCAAAGATTTAATAAAAACACTGCATTTATATGTTTGTTCTCCAGTGAGTCATTGTTCTGTTAACTCTAAAAGTGTGTTGTGTGTGTGTATGTTTTGGGGGGTAAATCTGGTCGGGTAAGCAGAGTTTCAGACGGGGATGGTAGAGTTTTGCGTGACTCATTTGTTGGCCAACGTTGTGTTTATCAAACGCGCAAAACAAACACACATGCATTCAGCTGTCAGGACTTGATTTGATTGAAGAGCAGAAATGACCTAATCTCCCAAACAGAAATAACTGTTGCATCAGCAGACAGGCATGCAGGAACTCAGCGTTGGTGAAGCTTGCTGTAGCTGAGAAACTTCATGAAGCGTTGCTCCCAGAGAGCCCTGAACACTATTAATTACAGCGTCGTCAAAAAATGGAGTAAAAATGTGGTCAAGACGGCAACCTATAACGTGGAGGCCCATATGGTCCACATATGGGCCTCAAGTAGAATAATATGCATGGAGCTATGACAAAGAGGTCATAGTCAGAGGAACAATCAGTCCAGGTTGTTTGAATGATTGGAGGATTGATGAGAGATGATAGAACCTCTCGGTGATTTTCTGCAGATTGACTATGAAATCATGAAGGAGGATGTAAAGAAGATGGAGAACCAGGCTTTGCGTCTGAAGGACCTGTGTCCGGAGAAAGCATACACATTCGAGGTGAAGACCCAGTCTACACTGCAGGCCTGGAGCAAACTGGGGAAGAGCGTGATGGACAACAGATCTCGTCTGCAGGAGTTTGTGGAGCTCCAGGGCTTCTTCAGGAGCTACCTCGCCATGATGTAAGGAGGATGTCAACATCCCCGTCTTTGCTACAATTTGTAATCCATTTTTTTGGGAACATTTGCTTAAGAACAGAATGTTCTCTCTGTCAAGCTCTTGCCTCAGGGGGAGCAGGGAATTTAGGGATAAAGCAGGTTTCCTGGGTGTGACAGGCCAACGAATGTGTTTCCTATCAGGGAGAGTCTGCTTATTCTCATGTTTCTTACTGTTCCCAGTCTCCTAACACCACCTCCTCTTCTTACGCATCCCTCTGAACAGCTCATGGACCGAAGACACTAGGTCACGCATTTTCTCAGACACTGCCCTGCACCTCAGGAGAGAAGGACAGCGGCCACTGGCGGCAGAGCTAGACATCCAAATCGAGCTAAAGTTTAACGAGTTTGACGAGCTGGCAGCCAAAGCAAAGACTCTTTTAAACAAAGAACACCATCTCACACAGATGGTGAGCAGATATAGACTCTACCAAATCACTACAGTCTGCATGAGGTGGCTGATGATTCTGAGTTGGAAATGTGTTGCAGGTGAAGGAACGAATGGAGGAACTGAGGAGCATGCTTGGGTGGATCTCAGTGCACTGGAGAGCTCAGAAACAACAGTGGCTTCACAAACAGAACAGAGAGGAACCCTCACATGATAACATTTACTCTGAGGCAACAATGTGGAACTCATTTAAAGAGGTAAATTAGCAGCTAGGTGGGAGTTTGTCCAAATAAAAGCAAAAGTACCTCCTCCATTTTTATGACAAAACCCAAACAGGCTCAATAAGGGCATGAATAGGGGGATGTCAAGCCCCAACCCTCGTAGGCTGATTGTCTCCAGCTTTCAAACTGGTCCAGCACACTTCCATCAAATGCCTGAATTACCTCAGCATGCAGTCAGGCTCTGCAGAGTCTTCCTAATGATCTAATTATCAGATTCATATGTGCTGAAGGAGAGGCGCATCTAAAAGTTGTCCTCAGACTGGAGTTTGAGATCCCCTGAATACAGTAGATCTGCAATTAAGCTATTTGTCCTGCAGTTAGATAAAAGTAAAAAAAATATTTGAAGTGTTGGGGAAAAAATGCTAAGTTAGAAAATTTTGTTATCTTAATTTTGGTGAAAGACTAGCAGACAAAATATGCAAGCTGAGAAAATTTCACAACATGAGGTTGTTTGTTTTTCATCTCAAACAACTTAAAATGTAAAACAAGACTTGAAATTTTACTTGAAAATATGTCAAACATGACCAGTTTGCATGTCATGTTTGTGTGATTAAGCTTTACCCAGGCTGAAATTAAGGTGATCTTCCATGTAATAGTTTAACCACAAAACAAAGGAAATTGGACAAAAAGTTTAGTCGAGTATTGTTTGAAAAACAAAACCTGTGTTATAGCACTTTTCTAAATGCAAGAGTTGCTAACTAGCTAGCTTGCTAGCTGCTCTGTTAAATCTCTGTTTCAGAGCACACCGCATTGTGAACATCCCCATTCAGTTAGCTCACTCAGCTAGTCTGGTGACTCTTCAATAAGAACATGCCTGTAATCTTTGGTACGCCATCAAAGTTTATTTTGGTGTCCATTGAAAACATACAAAGACCTGAAGCATAGAGCATGAAGCCACAACATGGAGGATAAATGCTAACGTAGCTAGCTAGCTTGCTAGCTTCTCTGCTGCCAAACCTCAGTTTCTGAGCACAAGAACTTGCAAACATTGCTAACTCCCAATGCTCTTTGAATGAATGCAACTATATGGGCAATTGAGCATTTATATTTGATTAAGAGAAGTTAATTACTTAAAGCTTCACTGCTCTACTAGGACATGTGGCCAATAAAAAAAAGTGAAATTGACTTATATTTATCGTAGTCATTGCTCATTTGGATTGACTGATTGCACCTGTTTGCATTTTATCACAAATTTTTAGCAGTTTATATTTAATGTTAAATTGTACCTTGTTTTTTTTTCCAGTCATACAGAACCCTGGTAAAATAACACATTGAGAAGAATTGGTTCTGGAACTGGCTATTTTAAACGTGGTTTTTCCGCTGCTCTATTTTGGTTGTGTTAACTGACAGAATGCAGAATATAAACTTTGTCATCTTCTGCAATTTATGTTAAAAGCGTGTTCATGACTTTTTTCACTCCAGTATGTCATCTACAAGCAGTTGAAATTGTCGGGCCTCTTCCTCTTCACCAAGCACATTTACACTTTGATGGCAATGAACCCTGATGAAGATCTGCAATTTTGCCCCTTTCACATGTCATGTCTGCCTTACTGGAGACGGCCAGCACTTTAAAATCAACTGATTAAGAACAGTATTACTGGCTGAAGTGACTCTCTGACCAACTTTGACCTATTTTGAATCATCACGCCAACAAATATTACACAAAGAACAAGACTAAACAAGTACCAGTCTGAGATGTGATGCATCAAAAAGGTCAACACTTCACATGGCAACCTAGAAACCCATGAAGAAGGACATTCCAAGTTCACATCTCAAACGTCATATTTGTTTATCCATATTCTTTCTTATTGTTGCTGTTTATTGTAGAAATATCTGGATTCATAGGGAACTTTTTTATTTGTTTTAACATAAACGATGGAGAAATCTGGAAACTTAGTCTGGAATTCTTTGTAAGACCTAAAACTGGGTTCTCTTGCACCAGCGTAAAAATTTCCCTCGTCTTTGTCTTCCCACACAGAGTTTGGTTGCTGACCCCGAAATCTTCCAACAATCACATGCCATCAGGGCCTCTGACGACACAACAAATGCAGCTGAACGCAACGAAGAGAGCGAAGGGAAAATGTCGGAAGATGGGTATGAAATCATGAACAGGATCGGCCCACGAGGCGATTCTCCCAAAGCAAACATTACGTTGGTGAAGGAGAGCAGCAGCCCACCTGTTGGAGGCGCTGTAAACCTCATTCTTAGCTTTGGGAACACTGAGGACAGCCAAGTGCAGGTGCTCGACCTCCCTGCTGGGACAGATGAGATGTTGAAGGAGACCTCCGAGCCTATTCACAGGGTGAGGAGCACTCGACACAAAACATCACCCAACATACATGATCTGTTCAAAGAAAAGAGGAAAGTTTTGATGCTTTCAGGCTTCGATGATCACTTTTCTACAACAACACTGCATGGGATCTCCCTCTCTGTACTGCAGGTCATTCCTTTCTCTTTTGGCATTCACAACTTTATATTTTCCCCTCGTTCTCTCCCTCAGCCCGCAGTGCCTCAGTCTTCTGCCTGTAAAAAGTTTTGGAGGCGTTGCCAGGGGATTTTGGAAAATACTTTCGGTAGTTTAAAGCGAAAGAAAAAGATTTATCGGCAGAGCGCAGATGAGGTAATTTGCGCAGTGTGAACTGGGATTGCATGCACCGTCTCCAAGTGTGCCGAGACTGCATGCAGTGTGCAGCTGTTTCCTGAGGGTAGCATGCTTTTTTTCCTAACCTGCTAGAAGATACAAAATGTTCAACAACCCAGTGGTTTTAGCTCCTCTGCAAGGCAAATATAAAACCGAAGACAAGATTAATAATAAAAAATTTATCGATTTTAAAATGAATAAGTGCAGCAAATGTTTAGACCCTGAATAAGTAAACTTTATTCATTGTTTGAAAATGAAAGTCTGTTTTGAGTCTTTATATTTTTCCTCTTTATGCTGTATTTGAATAATAAACATATATGTTTTGCAGGCTTTTATTGAGAAATACAGCAAGATTAAGCAAAGCATCTATAATTCCAGTGTTGACGTTTCTTTTTGAATATTGCTGCCGTTCCTCCTGTTTCTCTTTCCCGCAGCTTCTGGTCCAAATCCTGCTTGAGTGCGATGCATTCTTGGTTCATTAGAGCTTTTCTTTCCCTCACTATCTTCCTGAAGATTAATCACAGCATCTCAAAGGATTGAAAAAGTCAATGATCTGATCTCTAGGACATTTATTTATCCCATTTGCCTTGTGACCTGGTGCTCAATCATGCTGGACAAAAACATTCACCAGCAAGCTGCTCCTCCAAGGGTTCTGCTGAGTTATAAATAAAATTTAGGCATTAGTTGATCTTAAATACATGCAGATTTAACAGACTTGTGTAGGTCTGACATTTAAATCCCAGTGGTCTTATGTAGGCCTTAAAAAGCCTTAAATTGCTGAAACCTACAAAAATTCTTAACTCTATTTTCAAGCAAATTTGCTGCTGGAGGATGTTTTACTCCCATCCTTTATTTCTGGTTTTATCTTTGACAAAATTGCTGCTGATAAAGGTGTGTTGAAGCAGAAACATCTCAAACATATCAGCCTTTTTTGCTGCCTACATTACTGGCTTGGGCATTATTCTAGTTGATTAAAGAAATGTGACTCCCTGATGAAGCCAACATTCAGCTCTTCTAATTCACACAGAAATTAACTTTCATTAACACATTTCCGCTAAAGCTAATTTGAATCAAGCTAGCATCTCATCTTGTAGCTAAAACTATATTTTAGGGTTTTGTAATTAAATTAATTTCTATCAACTTTGTGTTTAACTGTCCTAGACCTAATGAAGGGCTTCAAAAGTCCAATCTCTCAGAGCTACTTTCCTGCTACCTTTGGGTGCCTCGTTTCTTTCAACACACCTGAATCAAATTAACTGTTCGTTAGCAGGCCGGACAAGTTCATTCAGGTGTTAGCTAACCTAATCTGGGGAAAAAAAGTAGTAAAGTCTCCCTGTGTTGTATTTTCAGCTCGTCTCTTAGAAACTCAAATCAATGGGTGAAATCCCAGCAGATAACCAAACTTTTTTTTTTCTCGTCATTAAAAGTTTTTGGGGGGATTTTTACTTGTAAAATGAGGCTAGATATAAAAAGCTGAAAAGTGGTGATGACAGAAACGATGTGAGCGATGAGTAAGAAAAGCACATACAGTCTCCTCCCTGCTGCGACTGTTGACAGAAACTCTCTCTTGCCTTTGATGAGCCTGATGTAAACCTGCTCAGGTCTGACTCTCGCCCGGCTCTGCCGTGATTGTGTGAAACGAGTGACCTCATCCTCAGCTCCAAAATGGCTCCCAGTAGGAGTGTGTCCCACATGCCGGTGGAGCTGCCGTCATGAGACAAGAGAACTGGTGCTGAACCTTTCAGAAAGGCCCCAGACTGCACTACATGATTTATAGTCTGGAGCTTATGCAGCTACAAGAGATTAGTCACAGAGTTGAAAGGTCAGGGCATTACAGCTGCGTATGACGACATATGCAGACACATATGATTTTGATTAAATCCTGAGTCTGCTGTTGGACTCATGTTCTGTCATGTGCTTTTTATACATTTTTGTATGCTTCATAAATATTTGTTAATCCAGAGTTTTCTTTGAGTGTTTCTCCAAAATATTTTATTTCACTGAACATCAAGCTTGAGCCGCTCAAAGTTTTGTCAACCACACAGAGCCTTGCAAAGTTACTCTTACATTTTGTATCTTTACACTCACAAACTTATGTGTATTTTATTGGGATATTATGTGATAAAAGAGAGTTGTGAATGAAGAGCATCTGTGAAAAACTGTTTCCATCTTACCACAGATTTTTGATGTAATTCAGATTTTGAATTTGAATGTGTTCTGTGCTTTGATCTCAGGGTGTTTATCCTGCTAGAAAATGAATCTGCATCTCAGACTATTTTTTTGCAGCCTCTAACATGTTTTCTTCCAGCCAATGTTACACTTTGATCTCATCTGACTGGAGCATCTTCTTCAAAAATGAGCCCAGGATAGAAGTGTCCTCCTTTCTGCAGATTTGGTTTTAAATAGTCTAGTTCAATCAACCAGGCAGATTCTCCTCAATAATCAAAGTTGTAACATAGAGATGACTGAGTATTCACTATGGTCCCCAGGAATAAGAAATACTTTACCTCCACATGTCTGCATTGTGTAAACCATAAAATCATTTAAATGTCTGTTATTTATTTTATTACAGCTTTATTCCATTTGCAGGTTTATAGTTGTTAGTGAGATGTGAAACACTTTGATCAACAGTTGTAAAGATAGCTGTGTTTCCATTACAAATGTGCCCAAAACTATGTCAATACTCTGATGTCCTAAAAAAAACACAATTTTGTAATTGTGGCGTTTCCATTAAAAAAGAAATGCAATTGAAGTCACTGAAAAAAATATGGCATACAATCATCCTCCAACTACTTCCTGTTGTCTTCTTCTTTGTGGTTTGTCTCAGTGGCAACATCCAGCTGTTGATTATGTGACTCACATGAAGCAAAGAGTTTCCATTGCAGTTTTGTGAAATAAATCAATTTTGTTACAGCCAAAGAACAAAAACACATCATCCGTAGTGCCAAAACGTTTATCGAAAAATAAGAGTTCTTTTTTTTTAATCTCTGTGTTTCCATTAAGCAAATCTATTTTTAAAATCTCAAACTGCATAATTATATGACCAATGGAAATGCAGCTATTGACAGTGAGCGTTGAATGTTACCATGGGCCTCTTAGCTGCTTCTCTAAGTAATGTTCTACTCTGGACTGTTTTAAATACACAGTGTGTCATAATCTAACCGTGTGTAAAATGTCTCCACAACTTTATCCCCATCTCTTTCTTTGGTTATCATGCTGTTTTTATGGTTATATGTTCACTAATGTTCTCTAACCAACTGCTGTGGGCTTAATTTCTGCAGAGATGCATTATTAGCTTTGTGACATTTGGTCGTTATTGACTGCACTAGATTTTATTGAGGGGTTTCTAAAGGTAATGGGTCTGAATATAAAAGCATGACATATTTTTCAGTTTTTTCTTTTTACTAAAAAGAGTTCTCTTTTCTTTTCTTCTTTTACAAGACATAGCAAGGACACATTCAGTAAATATCCGCTCATCGTCATGCATTTAATCTTGTTCCGTCTTTTCACAGGTAAGTACTTACCTGCATGTTAAGGACAACACCGTGGCTGTGGCCCCGGTGTACGAGAGTATCACCCTTCCCCGCCTAAAGAGCCGTTCTGCAGCCTCAGACTCCCCTACTCTATGGCCGTCCGCTTCCTCTTCCTGCTCTTCACAATCTTCTCCTGTGACTGACCCACAAACAACCAACGTCGGCTTCCGCTCCACAACGGGAAGCGGCAGCAGCTCCATCTTCTGCAGCCTCAAACGGATGAGCAAGAAGAGGAAAAGGCAGCGAGACGAGCGCAGACACACAATACAGAGAATATTGGACGTGGATGAGCAAACCAGTGGGATGCAGCAGTATGACTCTGAGACGGTCACGTATAACACTCAAACATGGCCGCTGAAGGAAGGTCAGAGGAAAAAGAGCTTACAGAAGAACAGAAATGTTGCAGGCACTGGGGCTTACATGAAAAACCCTCTTCTGAAAGACATCGATTCAGAGTGTTCAGGTGAAAACAGCATCACTCCGTACGCTGTATCATCCGGACCAACGACTTCCCCATCAGAGGCTCCTGGGAGAAGCCACTGCAGAGTCCTCTCTTTGGGCTCAGTGTTGAGCTTCGATCTGCCAAAAGACATGACCCTCATCCCCAGCATTCAGGAAATCATCACAATTGCCCCTCCAGAGTCTAAAAAAGCAGATGCAACATATTCTGACCCTCTTTCTCAAAGAAAAACAGTTCTGAGCTCTTTCAGACAGACCCACGTCCTGGCGGCCATCACAGGAAGTGAAATTAGCTCTTCTGAAACACAGGAGTTAATAGTTGCAGCAAAAGATCTGCCTGATGAGGAGGTGAGTTTACAACCATCTTCCCTGGAAGACCCTTGTGCCGGATCAGAGGAGAAGGACGAAATCTCATCAGATACTAAATCTACAACAAATGAAATCAGTCCGCCTTCAAAGCCGCCTATTTACATGAACCAAGTCCATAACTGCTGCTCAGTCCCGCATAAACACGAGTGTCTCAGTGTCCATACGCTCATCCGGGACCTGAATGGACACCAGTTCCATAAATGCACAAAATCCCAGTGTGAGCATGAAAACAGTGCTCGGCTGAAATCAAACCAAGCTTCTCTTGTACGAGTGAATCTGAAGTCAACGATGAGCGTCAGCGTTCGACAGGACTCTGTAGATTCTGGCATCTCCACCTCCAGCAGTTTCAAGCTTTGCACTGATGCTCCCTGTCCGGATCAGCCCCGGCCTAAAGGAGTGGTGGGGAAACTTATTTCCCTTGAGGTGGGAGGCATAGACCCGACTACAAGAGAAAACTATGCCGCGTTCTCAAGTTCATCCCCAGAATCCGTGAATATTAACACAGAGCCGGTCCACGTCGACCACCAGCAGTTTGAGGAGGAAGAAGAAGAACTGGAGGACATCTGGAAACAGAATACCAACTACAGGCAGAGCATCTGCTCAGACATTATGTACCAGCCGAACCAAACCGGAGATCCACTTTCCAGCTCCCCTCCTGTCACAGAGCCACCTGTTCTCTACAGAAACCTGGTCACCGCCTCAGAACCAAACCTCCTCATAGCCGAGTTCAAACTGCCCCCCCACATCCAGAACTGTCTGGGTTATGAGAAATGGCAGAGCTCCAAAGATCACCTCCCTCCTCTGGCCACAGCGGACCGGAGGTCCTGGGCGGCGTTTCCCAACAGGGAACCTGCCAGCAAGACTGCAGTGATGCTGAACGAGACGGCGTCTGATCCGGTGAAGCTTCCAGATGTCGGCGACAATCCGAGATACGTTTACCAATACAGAGAGGAGGAAGAGGGAGAACAGAAGGAGATGAAGGAAGGAGAGGAGCTAACCACGTACTCACAGGTCAGTTTGCTTCTTAAAGTATGGTTCAGACACCATTCTGACACTGTAAAGTTATTTTAGAAGCAAATTTGTTCTCGGAGGTTAAAAACAGCTTATGTTGAAGTCTAATTTTCCTGAATGAAAATGTTAACAGATTCCCAAGAAATGAGTTAAAGCCATTGATGTTGGGTCATGTCACTTTACTTTGAGTCAATTTATTCAGAGGGGAAAATAATCCAGAATTAATCAATAATTATTTTAAACAGTTATTTATATGTCTACTGTTAATGTTTATTTGTGTAGCACATTTTAACAAGTTAACCTAACAAGTTATGTCTAACCTATTGTTACTATATTAACCACAATTGGTTAATATAGTAATCAATTATGAAACAAGCAATAAACATTACATTTTGTCAAATGCCATCATCAAAATATACATTAAATATATTGATCAATATTCCAATTTTTATTAATCAAAGGCAACTCTAAACAGGTGTGTTTTAAGTTTTGATTTAAAGAAAATCAGTGTTTTGAATGTTTCGGTTGTTTTAAAACTTAATCTTCTATAACATTTCACAAGGTCAGCGTATCTAGAGATGTTTGACTATTATTCTGCACAATATTTGGATCATCCTGGATTCTCTACAGTTTTTTAAATGAGATTTAGTTCATGAGAAAATATTGATTTGGCTCTGGAGATTTTATTACTGCAATGAAAGATATATATATTTACACATCTGTACTGTGCCAGTCTGTCTCTTAACTTTAGCAAACCTAAGTAATGTTCTGACTGTGCATTATTTTGTTTTTTTACAGAACCAGTCTATGAGTCTCCTTTCAGTCAATATGGGTTTGAACGAAGCCTGCCAGAAAAATCTTAAAGACATAGCAAAGCCTCAAGAACGAGTAGCCACAGGAGGGCGCTGTTTCATCCTAGTAAGACTGAAACCTGAGCAGAAATATTGTTTGTTGTTGATCTTTTTGCATGAATGTGGTTTTTAATTCAAACCCATGTAGAGTGGAAAACCGGAGCATCAGTCTATGGAGGGAACTCTGGAGAGGAAGCACAAGCTGCAGCTGGGAGGAAAGAAAGTAAGAAATGTTTAGGCCTACATAGTCAGCAGATGTAAAGCCCAGAGTCAGCAGCATGTGGTCTTATCTTATTTTCACAGGCTGCCTCCAGAGGCTGGAACTCCTACCACGCTGTCCTATATAGACACACCTTGTGCTTCTTCCAGGACAGAAAGGATACACTGCGCGTAAGCAGAAAGCAGATATGATATCTGTAAAGCAGTTGGCATGTGGTGACTAATAATGAGTTTGTGCTTCAGAGCTCTGCATGCGGTCTACCGCTGAACCTCATGGGAGCTGAGTGCTCGGCTGCCCCAGACTACACCAAAAAACCCAACTGCTTCCGACTACGGTAATCCTGGGCAAACAGCCAAGTTGTCATTGCAAATTACACCGATTTAAAGGCAAATAGTGAGACGTATGCGCTGCAAGTTTTTCTTTACCGCCATCGTTTCTGGTCTTCAGGCTCCGTGACGGGTCTGAATACTTGTTTAATACCACCTCCCGCTTCTTGATGAAGAAGTGGATCATGAAAATACAAGCAAGCACAGGTAAATATAATACTGAGGCTTTGAAAAGCATATTTTTATATTTTTCGCATCATGATCACACATTAATGTATTTTATTGTGATTTTACGTAATAGATCAACATAAAATACCAAATAAAGTGGAAAGAAGATGATTCAACATTTTATTTTATTCAATTTTGTTGCTGTCACTTTAGTAAACACTTGTTTTTTTGGGTATGTTTCTACAATTTTTGCACATCTTGAAACTGAAATCTTTGTCAGTTCTTCTTTGTAGAACAGCTCAAACTCAGTCATATTTGACGGAAGGCATCTGTGAACATTAGCTTTTAAGTTTTACCACAGTTTCTCCATAGTATTTAGATCTGGACTTTGACTAGACCATTGTAGCACATAAATATGCTTTGATGTAAAGCTCTGGCTGTATGTTTAGGGTCGTTATCCTGCTGCCACTACCATAAACCCTTTGCACCCTCTCAAGTTTTCTTTCTGGAATACAAATGCCCACCACACTTTTGTTCAGAGGTTGTTTTGAAATTAATTTATTGTTTTCCTTTCACTTACACAATTATGCATTATTTAGTGTTAATCTGTAACATAAAATCTCAATATAATCCACCCAAATTGTGGTTGGAGCATGACAAAATATTTTTAAAAATCCTATGTGGGTTGTACTACATTCTGTTTTTTTAAGTTAATAGTTGTGTTTATAGTGAATAACTGATGTGACCTTTTCTTCTGTCAAAGGTCAAAGTGAGCTCATGTCTTCACCAACAAATGTTCCTGGTGATCAAGCCTTTCCCATCTCTTTGTAAGATAATGTTCAAAACAATTTGTATAAAATGCCAACATTCTGTGCAGCATGTTGACTGTTACCCCGCTCTTATGCTTTAGATGCCAGGATCAAACACTCTGCCATTCCCAGCACAAAGTCACCCACACATTCCCAAGGTTGAAACAGCAGAGCAGCGATCAAACCAAAGAAATTGTAGTTCTCACCAGAGAGCAGAGTCACATGCTCCAGAGCCAAAGAGCGGACGAGAAGTCCAAGACCTCATCCTTGGATCCAGGCTGCTGTGGTAAGAGTGGAGAACTGTTTACCAAAAGAGACATCTGCATAACATTCATGACCTGCATGTGTCTGAACTCACCCCCAGCCAAATAAATATGCTGGATGTTGTAGGTATAGCAGGTGCCACTAGGTGGAGCTGAAGCACTCCACATTGAATAGCTGTAGTGTCACATGATTGCTAAGGGGGTTTGTTTTTACAGTAAATGTAAATCTCTTCTTACTCAGCTTTTCTGCTCTCATTTGACCCCCACAGATGATGATGATGATGATGATGAATGCAGCTTAACGCAGACAGTGACTCACAGACTTTCTGTAGACAACACTTCTCCTTCCTCCTCTCACTCCCCTGCAACCAGCAGCCAGAACTGGCTCAGCAGCAAGCACCGCTCCCACTCTTTTACGTCAGGTTAGATTGCTTCGATTAGCCTGAATTTTATCATTATCACATTCAATCTGAATATTGGTTATTTTTCAGCAACCTACCAGAAGATTAAACCCATGCAACACTCTCCTGGAGGAGAAGGGGTGGAAAAAGGATCCAACTACTGTGTGACTCTGGTGGTCGGGGCCAGTTCGGCAGACAGCTCGTCGATAAGCAGAGGTCTGGAGCCTCCAGTGCTGCCCTCACCTTCATGGCAGCCAGACGTGTTTAAGGACTCTGCTCTGAAAAGCTACTCGAGCCTCCCGCGACCTCGCAACAAATCTGTCTTTAAAAAGTTCTTTGGGAAAAAAGAGCCCTGAGCGTATACATGCTGGTTTTTACAGATAGTTTCTAACGTGCAGTGCACATTTAAATAAAAACACACTACTACTGACCATATTTATGAGCAAAACACTTATCCTAGTTATGTTTTTGATGCGTTTGTGATAAATCACTACAAAGCCTTAAAAGTCATTATAAATAACCTGTTTTATGAGTCTCTTTTTTTATCCGTCTCTTTTTCAGTCGGATAAAAACACAACTGCTAACACGCTGCAAAGTGTGCACTGTGTACTTACAGTTCAACTCAGAAGTGTACATACAGTCATCACTGATATGAATGTCATATTAATTCAGGACAATGAAGGATTTCTTTAAACGATTTATATCAAGATGGAAGGATAATGCAGCTTTCAACTTCAGTAATTTCAGAAAACAAGAGTTGGATTAACAAGTTTAAACATTTTCTGTATTTTTTGTGTGCTCAACAAAAAGTAAATTGTCAAGTATGGTGGTAGCATCGTGCAGTGGGTTTACTGGACTGCCAACGGTACTGCTGCCTACTGGATAGAAAATTAAAGAAAATGTCACCAAATTCATTCATTTCAAGCTCCAAAATACATACATACACCATTAGCAATATTCGAATGTCATTATGGGCATTAATGTCATTATTTTAGGTCTTTAATGGATTTCAGAGTGCAATTTGAGCTGATTTCTGAGCCACTGCATTGTCAAAATTAAACATACACCCTCACTAATATGTCAATAAATGTTGCTCACCAAGTTGCGGAGAAACCACAGCCGTCCTCGAAACCCTGATGTTCGTGGGAGCTAGGGACTGCCGGCAAAAGGCTAAAAGTTGCAAACACTTGATACTCACTCTAAAAACGCTCCTAAATGCCTGTTTTAATAGTTGAAACACAAATGTACCTTTATATGGCTTATTATGATCTGTGGAAACTGTTTTTGCATGACTACAGAAGCTAGCATCCATTGTCTATCTTACTTCCGCTCTTCTGGGTATAGCCAATCAGCACCAAGGAAAATGAACGGCACTCGTTGATTGGCTGTCTTTCAAACACCAACCAATAGCATGTGAAGGAGCTTTGCTCCAACGTATTTTAGCTTCCAAAGCTGCATTTTCTTTATAATATTTAAAAAAAATGGTCTCTGAAAAAAAGGATCAATCAATTAAATTTTATTTGTCTAGCACATTTCAGCAACAAGGTATTTCACAGTGCTTTACAAACAGAAATACAATCATGTAACCAACCAAAACCTATTGAAACACAAGGCACATCCACCACACTGAAGCCTGTTTGGAGTCATCTTAAAGAATCGAAAATTGACTTAAGACTCAAATTTTAACCTTTTGAGATGGTTCAGCTAAAATGGCGATCTCCATCCTGCAAACATTTTTTTACTGTTTATTCAATCTTCCTGTGTTTGTTCTTGAACATTATAAAAAAAAAAATCAGAGATTGACAGTTTGGGTGACATAGACATGGATACATGACATGAATATCCAAAGCCTCTTTATATTTTCAAAAAAAGCTTTGAATTCAACCAGATGTATAGTTTTGATCTTGTGTGGATCAGAGAAAATATTCAATAAATTAAACTTCTGCATCAATTTGTTGTTTATATGTTAAAGGTTGAAATTGACTTTCACATTTATGATGGTTTTATGTAAACTTCTGGAACTGTTTTGATTGTTTTTGATCATCACTCTTGTACATTTCTTTTCATTTTCTCCCTGTTGTGCTTTGGGTTATCTGTTCCCCTTTATGTTAACCTAAATATTAATACGTTAAGCTCTCAGTGCCTTCAGTTACGTTGCATTTTATCTGCTCCTCAATTATGAATTCACAGTTTGATACTGTTTGATCTCGTGTGATTTAACTACTTTTTTCCACCTTCTGAGGCAAAGACTAAATACTTAATAAAACTCAAAACAAGGTTTTGCTTTTGCTGTGATTAAAGATTAATTTTTGACACACTTGTGGTACAAAAATTTCTTCTTTTTTTTTCTTTTTTTTTTTTTGTCATGTCTGTCTGGACTACTTTGAGAAGAAAAGCCGTAAGATGAAACGAGAGATTAAAGGTCGGCAAAGCTAAGAACATTTCCACATCACAAGCCATCTTTTTGCGTATTAAAACATGACCCCATTCAGAGATGTGATTTAAACATAAATAATCGCCGCTTCATTTAAAGCTGAGGAACCAGACGCTCTCTGTGGACATGGTTGCATAATGAATTCAACTCATAAAGCCTTTGCAAACTAATGCTGCTTAGCATTGCAAAATATTCAGTGTCTCCTTTGGATTAGTTACAGTAGAGAAGAAAAATGACTAATTTGGGCATCTCAAAAGTTTTGATGTTTACTTTGGAAAAAAAAACTGTAGAAGGAGACTGGCGTAAGCTGTTGACTGGTTTGGTGAGCAGTGCTGTTTGTTGTTGACATCCAAAAATTCAGAGCAGCTAAAGTGTAGCTACAATTAAAAGAGTGTTAGAACGCTGTAAAAGCTCAAATGCCATAAATATTTTACTTTAATTTCAGAACATGTAGCCATATTTGTCACTTATCTGCAAAGAAAGTGAAAAGATTTAACGTAGCGGAGAGGTCAGCTTTGGGGCAGTGAAGCTAAACTGTCAGAGAAAGCAGTTTCCGTGTTTTGGTGGTTGTGCTGATTCTGACAGCAGCAGAAATGTTGGAATATTATATGAGGAGGATTAGAAGTATGACATGATTCTTTGTAAGCCTGCAGATCTGAGGGAGGGTTTAAGAAGTGCACCTGGAAACACTTATCACATACTTCTGCAAAGTAGCTCAATCACAGATCTACTGAAGGCTTCGGATGGCTTGCATGGTACTGCCTGTCAGCGTGAGGTCACGCAGCATCCCACAGTTAAAATGTGCAAAACACACCGTCAGTACTGATCAATTTTTCCAGTTAATTTCTCTCACGTTTTTCTGATATTTTTTTTTGGGGGGGAAGGGAATAATCTAGTGACGGAGAAAATGAAGCCAAAAAACAATAAATGCTACTTTGTTGTGTTCACACTGTTTTCTATGTTACCATGTATGCGCTACCATGTGCTTTGAAAATGGTTTATGTTGGTTTTAACATGACGAAATGAAGTCCTATTGAAGAGCTTTTTGGGCTCCTGTTCTGAATAGAGCATATTTACTGAGATATCACTCTTATTTATCTAGTTTTTGTAATATACCACTTCAAAAAAACCGTAAGAGATTACTTAAAATGATCAGTTTCTCTAATTTTACTCTTTATAGGTCTATGGTTGAGTAAAATGAACATTGCTCTTTTATTCTATGAACTACTGACATGTCTTTAATATTTATTTGCAAAAAATGAGAAATGGTCACAATAACAAAAAAGATGCAGTGCTTTCAGATCTCAAATAATGCGAAGAAAACAAGTTCATATTAATTTAGAAACAACAATACTAATGTTATAACTCAGGAAGAGTTCAGAAATCAATATTTGGTGGAACAACTAGGAGGTTTTCATTGGGGTTCAGAGCAGAAGGCTCTTCATTTTTTCCAGAGCTGAAAGTTAAAGGATAAATTGACCATTTTGACAATGAATATTCAATGCTGAATAAGTGCTTCTTAGTACTCAATTGTTATTAGAATGAATCAAACAGGGACTCATAACTTAACTTTCAGTTTCAAGGACTAACTGGACAAATGATTACTGGCTGAATTAATCAAAATAATGTCAGTCGCTGTTTTTGCTAAAGTTACTGAACCATCAGAGCAAACAGCATGTCTGCGTAGCCCAGAATAAGATCAAATTATGTTATTATTGGTTTCATTGCCACATATATTTACAATGAATTTATGTAATTACATATCAACAGCGTCTATGTGATGCAAGTTTTTCAAAACATCGGTGGAAGCCAGGCTTAGCCGTACGCTACAGTATGCATAAGCAGGGGATGCTGGTGTATTTTTCAATTAAAGTTGTATATCTCTACATGAAACACAAGGCACATGTGCAGTAGAGTGAGGGGCGTATAATGATCCACATTGACATTCAGGAAGTGACTGATACAATTAGTCACTGCCTTCACATATGGCATCTATTCCTTTGGAATGCACTGACTGCCATACTGAAGACATTTCTGTGTGCTTTTCCCTCTCCGTCATGTTTGCAGCGACAGCCGTATCGTGGAAGGGCCCAGAGGGACGCAGCACCAGCCAATCGATTGATCGCCGTGTCCTAGATCTTCGTGTCCTCTCCACCTCCTGACCTCTATGCGATTCGCTGACAGCTCCTACTGCTCCCGTCGCAGCTGCGGGGGGTTGTAGCCCTCCCCTGCAGACACAGCAAACAGCTCACTATGCTTGCATGTCAGCACACTCTGGAGGCTTTTCCTTTAAGTGTGGGGGGTTATGTAGAGCAAAACATGCGCTGGACTCGACAACTGCTAAAAAAGACTGCATGACATTTTGCTGCCTTTTTTCCCCTGTCCAATCTCTTAAAGACTGACCGCCTGACATGTCCTCCCAAAGGTGGGGTGAAGCGTCTTAGACCTAAGTGGCTCACAGGAGTCGGCAGTGTCTTTCAAAGAGATCAGGAGATCAGACGGAGCCACCAGGACAGTGTAACAGGAGAAAGATGTCCTCAGGCCCTCACCCTTCCTGACTGTTGAAAGAAAATGGTGCTACTGTCTTTGGAGGGATGCATGACTCTCAACACATGACACATTCCCACAGGGACGGAAACGTAGTTGTTCCTTACTTGAGTAACTTCGCTGAAATACAGAGTGAAACAGTACAATTAACTGTATAAAAGAGAATAAATTTATGTTTTATTGAAAATCTCTGAGCTTTCAACTTTCAGGCTTCAAGACGGTCAGTTCTGTCGTTTAGCAGGCTTTGAAACCCAAAGCTGCAGGCCACAAGCAGCCTTATGGGAGGTCATGAAAGGGACGTAACGGTAAGAGTGAGTTTAAGAACTGTCTGTGCTGGGCGGGAGGTAAAATGGTGGATCAAATGGCCTCATTTCCACAGCCCTGGAATCCCATTTCACTTTATCTATCCACCTGTAAATATGTGCACATATAAAGCTATATTTAATAACTCTGAACAAGAAGTGCCTCACTGTGAGAGGCATTCAGACACTTGGATTTAAATGTCTTACTTTTTTTTAACATTAGTTTACAATCTGCAATATGGATATATAGTTTGCGTTAAGTATCTACATGTCGTGGTGTACAGATGTGAAGGTGCATGTAACAAACCCAGTATATAACAGAAATTATATACTTTAGAATGGAGTTTTTGTTTTTTGAATGATTACTTTTTACTTTGAATATACTGAAGTATGATATCACTTGAGTATAAATGTTGGGTACTCTGCCCACCTCTGCTTATCAGAATCAGATTCAGAATCAGCTTTAATTGCTGCGTTTATGTGCAAAAACAAAGAATTTGACTTTGTGTGAGGATTTAGGTTCCTGTGTAGTTTTTTGGCTAATTTAGTCCCTGTGTGTCTTGCCCTTGATTGATCCCAGCTGTGTCTCGTGTTCCCTGATTACTTCCTGTGTATTTAACCTCACCTGTGTCCCCTGCTCCCTGTCAGATCCTTCATTCATCTCATTGGTTTGGTGTAACTCCCAGTGCCAACAGTGTCTGTGTTTCCTTGTTTCATTGCTCACCTGTGCTGCCTGGATTCTGTTCATGTTCTTGATCACTATTAAAGCATAATTTTTCCCTACGAACTGGGTCTTGTGAAGTTCTGAGACTATGAGTTGTTGGTTTTAGCTTTTAGTTTTAATTGAGTTGTCAGTTTTGTTTCCTGTAGCCCCATACTAACAGAAAACACATTTTGTGTCCAGGATGTGTGTGGTCTGTGGAGATGTTAGCTCCATTTTCCCTGGCCCTGGACCTATAAAGTCCTGGATGGGGTTATGGTCATATAAGTTAATTCTGAATATATTATCACTCTCATATTATTATTGTTAGAGGTTTTTTAAAAAAAACTGCATGGTTTCCTGGCACAGACATGGCAGGAACATGAAGCTATTCCAGAAATTTTACCTTGTAGCCACCCCAAAACAGTCCCAACAATTGATCAGCAAACTAATAAATAAAGTCCAAAAGAAATTGTTTTTTTTTTTTTGTTTTTTTTAACAAGAAGTTAAATTAAGACTCAATCTGTGCCCGCGGTGCCTGGCTGTCATATGCACAGCTGCTCTGAGGGCCTGGCAGAAATTGTGGGAATGCAGAAACCAGCTTGACACTCTGACATGACCTTGATTTCTGGAAACTCACCATGCGCAGGTTTCTGCACCAAGATTATTTGGCATCACAAAAGATAAGTAGTTTATTTTGCCTCCACATCTCCGTGTATGTCGTATGTTCTCCACAGGATAAAGTCAATTTTATGTGCTGCTTTAGGAAGGCTTGTGCAGGCTGTTGTGTAACAATATGTCAGATTTTTATCAGCTGTGTTTGGCCTTTTAGCTGAGGGCTTCCCGGACCATACATCATCCCTCGCCCCCTCCTTCCTGTCTGCAGCTGTCAGTGTGCCTCCTGGGCTGGTACCACAAAGAGCAATAACAGGAGAGATCTCACCACATCTAAGCACCCTCTCCCCCATCAAAACCTCACCCTCCCACCAAACAGCCAAATCCCTTTTGTCCTGAATTGTTGGTAAGCTTCTTGCATTTTTGAACCCTCCATGAGATGGAGGGATTTGCTCAGACATCTGGCCCAGAAATTCAGAATAAATGCACACATCTGTGTTGTGATATGGCCATTGATTAACTTATATGAATATGAAGTTAACCAATTGTCTGCATGACTTTATCAGTTACCATGGACTACGTCAACTACTCTTGCTTAGGACACATTGACATTTTCAAGTTCCTTCACAGTAAGCAGGTTTTTACAGCTGCAGAAAGCAAAAACTTAATGCTTGTAACGATAAAATAAAAATTTTTCTGATTTAGATGCAGTGTAATCA